AGAGTGCTCGCCTTGAGCTGAAGAGCTGGGGAAAGTGCCCAGGCCCAGAGTTCAAGCCCCACGACCGACAAAAAAAGAGTCTCAAGGACTTTTTTTTTGCCCAAGCTGGCTTTGAATTGTGATCCTTCATTCTCATCCTCTGTAATCCTTAGTTACAGAGGCTGAGAAACACACACACACACACACACACACACACACACACTCTCTCTCTCTCTCTCTTTTGTAGAAAAATGGACAGAAATAAGTAAACATTGTAGAAAAGCATAATTGAAATATTTTAACAAGTTAGTCCCCCCCCCAAAAAAAAAACCCTCTCCTCTCCTTCCTTTCCTTCTTTCTTTGGTGTTGGACTTCAAAGCCTGGCCATGAGTTGTGTGTCCTCCAACAAGGTTAGAGTTTCTTTTTTTTAATAGCAATTTTTTATTGTGATTAAGTGATTACATAAATTTCACAGTATTGTGAGATAGTGATATTTAGTTAAAGTCACAAACACATGCTAACCTTCATGGGGCAAATTGTCTATAAAGTGGTCTATAAAGTTTATGAATTCTATGAGTTTTGACAATACAGTTAGTTCTTCCACATCAGATGATCTGTACATTTCTTTCCTTTTGCTAAGTGTCAACTGTTCCCTCTTTCCTGGTCATTCCCTTCCTCCCATCGCTGCCATTGAGTTGCTTAGTTTGTTCTGATCAATGACCAGTGCAGCTGATGGGTCCCACTGTTGTATGTTTTCCTGTTTCTGTGTCCTTCTAGTTTTCCTCCAATGTGCACATATATACCATATATGTAGTCAGCAGCATGGGTCATTTAGTAATAATTCGACCAGCTGAGTGGAGATTCTTTGTTTCTTGAGTCTTGTTTACTTTGTCATATCCCTTACATTTTGGATTTAACATCCACTTATCAGGGAGATCATGTGCCGTTTGTCTCTTTGCTCTTGGTTTACCTCGCTCAACATAATTTTTTCTAGTTCCATCCATTTCCCTGCGAATGCCATTATTTTGTGTTTTCTAATGGGTAAATAATATTCCATTGTATATAGGTACCACAATTTTTATCCTGACCCTTTTTTTTTTTCGGTTGTGGGGCTTGATCTCTGGGCCTGCACGCTTTTCCTCAACTCTTCAGCTCAAGGCTAGAGCTCTACCACTTGAGCCACAGCACCACTTAGGTACCACAATTTTTGGATCCATTCATCTGTAGTGATGCATCTGGATTGTTTCCGTATCCTGGCTATTGTAAACGGTGCTGCAATAAACATGGAGGTGCATTTGTCCTTATATCCTGGTTTCTGTTGTTAAGGATAGATGCCTAGGAGTGGTATGGCTGGGTCATAGGGGAGGTCTATATTTAGCTTTCTGAGGACCCTCCAGACTGCTTTCCAAAGTGGTTGTATAAATGTACATTCCTACCAGCAGTATAATAGGGTTCCTTTTTCTCCGCATCCCCTCCAGCATTTGCTGTTGGCTGAATTTAGGATGTGGGCCATTCTGAATGGAGTAAGGTGGTATCTCAGAATTGTTTTTATTTGCATTTCCTTTACACCCAGGGATGGTGAACATTTCCTCATTAGTTTCATTTTTATCTCTTCTTCTGAAAAGTCTCTCTTTAGTTCCCTTGTCCATTTAGTAATTGGTTTGTTAGGTTTGGGAGGGATTAGTTTCTTGAGTTCCCTGTATATACTGGATATTAGCCCCTTGTCTGAGATATTGCTGGTAAATTTTTTTTTCCCATTTAGTTGGCTGTCTTTCTAGTTTGATTGCTATGTCTTTAGTTATGCAGAATCTTTTTATTTTAAGGTAGTCCTATTTGTAGAGTCTCTTTCCAATTTGTTGTGACTCTGGAACTCTGTTCAGGAAGTTCCTGCCTGTGCCTATAAGTTCAAGTGTCTCTCCTACTCTGTCCTGCAGTAATTTCAGAGTTTCAGGTTTGATGTTAAGGTCTTTAATCCGTTTTGAGTTGATGTTGGTGGATGGTGATAGGCTGGGGTCCACTTTTAGTTTTCTGCATGTGGCTGCCCAGTTTTCCCAGCACCAGCGGTTGAAGAGGCTGTGTTTCTTCCACTGTATGTCTTTGTCAAATTTCAGCTGACTACAAGCGTGTGGTTTTATTTCTGTATCTTCTATTCTTCAGGTCTGTTTTTGTGCCAGTACCAGGCTGTCTTTGTTATTATGGCTCTATAGTAGAGTTTGAAGTCCGGCACTGAGATCTCTCCTGTGTTGTCTTTTTTTGTCTAGAATTGTCTTGGTTATTCTAGGTCTTTTGTTGTTCCAAATGAATTTTTGGATTGTTTTCTGTATTTCAGTGATCAATGTCATTGGGATTTTAATAGGAATTGCATTGAATTGTATATAAATTTTGGCAGTATGACCATTTTCACTATTTTAAGTCTGCCTAACCAAGAACATAGAAGATCTTTCCATTTCCTGGTGTCCTCTATAATTTCTTTAAGTTTTTATAGTTTTCATCAAATAGTTCGTTTACTTCGTTGGTTAGGTTAATTCCTAAATATTTTTTGAGGTTATTGTAAATGGGGTTTATTCCTTGATTTCCTTTTCTGCTTGTACATTGTTGGTGTACAGAAAAGAGACCGAT